TTTCCTATAGCTCTGCAAGAACTTTCAAAGTATTGCCTGGGCTACTTTATAGTCATCTTACATTTCTTTAAAAAAGCATTACCATGCAATACGTCGCAAAATACTGTCTATAAATTTACTTATGGAAGCCACTGTTTTTATTTTAGTTTTTTTCCCCCCACATATAACATTTAAACATTTGTGGTTATTAAAAGTGTCCACTTAGGTTCAGTTGGAATTTTTTTACATTTATTTATTTAAATAAATAACTGTAAGCACTGCATTAAAACAGAGGACAATAGTACAAATAAAACAAAATACTCAAATAAACTGTAAAATGAGCTCATGATAGTTCTTATTGAGATTATATGTATATGGAAGCCCATTTCTGTCACATAAGAAATTTTTTTTTTTTAGTCAATCACAATTATGAGATAAGTAAAAATGATGACATACTTGAAAATCTGAAATAAAAAAATCATTCTGACATGACAAGGTACATTTTTGTCATAATTGTAACTTATGTCATAATTATGATTTACAGTTTTTGCCTATTGCTTGAACACTATAGACCAAAGTAACAAAACGTGAAGCTTTTGTTACTATACCTTAAACACAGTGTAACCATACCTTAAACAAAAGCGCTGCTTTGCACTTCAGTTGCAATTCTGCAACACATTTGCTCCTGCACACTACACACTATTTCATACATAAGACACTTCATTCATAAATGAAATCTCATGGGTACCATTGGGAAAACACATCTATTCAAAATACAAAACACATTGGGTGATTGAAAACACTTAGACACACACCTGGAAACATTTACTTACAAAACTGATCACCAATCAGCCAACCACATGCCCGCATGCCTCTTCTACAGGCAATGGAAGAGGCATGCGGAGACATTGAGGCAACGTCAATCCATGGATGGATTCGGCACACAAGGCGTTATTTTCCCCATTGCTTAGCAGGAGAAAATATCACTTGTGACGTTGATGAGATCCTGTGGCCAGACCCAAACAGACGGCAGGATCTGTTTTTCTGTATTTACAGTAGTGTATTTTGTGGTTTATTTTTGTATTATTTTTGCATTACTGCATTTACTGTACTGTACTGTAATGTACTGTATAGTACTGTGATGTGCAGTATTGAGTTGATGTCATTTGTAACCTTTCAGTACTTTCATTTTTGGCTGTTGTCATTTTTTGGAAAAAACTGAACAAAAACTGTAAGTGTTGCATTGAGCTTCACATAATGCTAACTGATGAACTGAAAAACAGTGAAAATTAAAAACTGCAGTGTTTTATATAAAGTACAGTAGTGTGTTGCTGCTAATCTGAAAGTGTATTCATATGATGCAAGTGTGTATCATTTTGTCATCAGAGTGACATTTTGACAAAAGATTGTTAGGTTTTGATCGCAGTTTCAGTTCGACATAGATGTGAATGGTTTATTTCCCAGTGTTGTGTCTTGTGTGCTTGTGTGTAAAGGTTTGACACAATGAGCCGAAGTTTTGCAAAAAGTGTTCAAGCAATAGGCAAAAACTGTAGTATGTCAATTTTAACTTATTTCATAATAATGACTATGTGTGTATGACTATGACTATAAGTGTCTAAATATACAACTTTTTGTCCCTTGATTATGACCCAGTATGACATAATTTTGACTTTTTATGTCACAAATCTGTCTATTTCACAATTTTTATTCCTTTGTCACAATTATGATGTTTTATACAATCAATTTTACTTTTATATCATAACTAGAATGCCGTCATTTTGACTTTTTATTTCAGAATTATGACTTAGTATCTCATAATTTTAACTTTTATGTCATACAGTAATTATGACTTAGTATTTCATAATTACAAAAGCCTGATTTTTCTCATTATACGGAAATAGTCTATGAGAATTATTCTTAAAAGACTTCTTGAGTCTTGAGAATGAAATATTCATCGCAAAATATAAAGGTTACCAATAAGCTCAAAAGCATTGTTAACCCATTTAAGCCCACCAGCAACTATAGTTGCCGCAGTTCATAGTTGTCATTTCCTTTTGTAAGTATTTTTCTAGATGTTATCCATGTTTTATTTCTCAATGACATGCAAGCAAACAACCAAATAAAGGATTTCAAGAGAAAAAAAAAGGTATTCACTTCCTTCCTGTCACATGAGGCTGTCAAGTTCCTACCCCTACTTCCAGGAAGCATGGCGAAGGCAAAACCCTCCCAAAGAAATTACATTTTCATGTTACTAATAAGTATTTTTTGTTGACATATATCTACATAATCATGAAGGTCTCTAGAATCATCCAAAAAAAAAACAATCTTCCAGGAGATCTATAGTTTTTTGCGTACTTAGTCAAAAGTCCAAGCGGCAACTATAGTTATAGCCGGTGGGCAAATGACTTGTAAGTACATATCATGGGGGAAATGGGGTATACTGTTTTAATAGGTTAATAAATCAAGGTTATTGGTCTTGTTTTCTGCATTTTGCTTTCATAATATCCCACCTAAAACATAACTTAACCCTTTAACTGACATCTCTACTGTACAGTAGACCTTAATTTGATAGGGAATAAATCTGTCAAAAGGAGGAGATGAGAGCGCAATCTTTCCCCAGCTCAACTACACTTCTGTGTCCTCTTTTGCCATGGGGGGTGGGGGGTGGGAATTTCCCATTTTCAAGGGACAGCAGCAGTTTACAGACTTCAGTCAGTCACACAAAAGGAAGAATGGAAAGATAACGAGCTAACGCATGGGATTAATTGCTGCAGATTATCTTTTTCTCCCTTTTATGACATTATGTCTTCTAAGGGGCACAATATTGAGACCCCTTTTTCCAGTTTGGATGCGTTTCATTCTAATTGGTTAAAGACCCTAATTCTTTTTATGACTAGTAGCTTATGATTCCATTATAATGTTAATATTCAGACAAGTAATGAGTTTACATTTACATTATTATATGAAATCACCTACTACAGTCAGCCATTCAATGCTATGGGCCTAAAATATGTGTAATTTTCTTTCAGGTATACCTTTTTTATTATACAGATGTAATATTTTCTTCGTTCTATTTATTTTTTATTCATTTATTTTCATTTAACTAACACACCTCTAAGAATGAAAATACCTGCATGTTCAATAATGAGTAAATAAATAAATAAAAAATCAGGGGTGTAGCCTACACATGATAATTATTTAAATAATCATATATTTTAAAAAGAATATCATTAATTTCATGAATATCAAGGACTTTTGTCAGGGTTAATCCATTAGACCTAATCAATATGTGCCTATTCATAAAATATGTGATATTTTACATATTCACATCACAAAGTATAGTATGCAAATGTTTATGTAAATTTATAAAACTGCTTGTACCCTCACTGCAGTACTCCTTGTAGGCTACTTGTAGGCTACTTATACTAAAACTGCTTACGTAAGGGAAAGTTCACCCAAAAATGGAAATTGTGTCATCATTGTGTCATCTTCAAGTTGCAAACCTATGAGATTCTTTCTTCTGTTGAGCACAAAAGAAGATATTTTGCAGAATGTTGGTAACCAAACAGTTAAATGCGTAATTTTCTTTCAGGTATACCTTTTTTATTATATAGATGTAATATTTTCTTCATTCTATTTATTTTTATTCATTCATTTTCATTTAACTTTTTGATACACAATACCCTGTTGGGGCAACTTAATGGCTGCACTTTGTTCTGCACTATGTTCCACCATTTTAAGACAAATGGATTTGTTGTGTTTTCATATTCAAGAGATTATAAGCTAAATGCAACTTTTTTGGGGGTTTGCATTGAATGTTCTTCGACTTTTATGCATGATACATTTGTTTATGAATAAAGATTGATCTGTTGAAAGCAGTTACTTTGAGTTAGATGCTAAAAGCTCTCCTCATATTCAAATGTGACATTGCAGTGGTGCATAAAACATATTTGCCCACCGGCAACTATAGTTGCCGTACATTCAAATACGATTTTCAAGGGGAAAAAAAAAAACTTGGGGAAAATAAATGCAGAACATGTTCACATGGGACACTATTAACATGACTATATGCATGAAACCATTCAGAAATATCTGGGCACAAATGGGTTAATGCTTGAAAAGGTAATAAATAGCTATATCTTTCATAGACAGACCTAATAGTAGTAGGCATACATAAAATGAGACAAATAAATAAAATAAAATAAAATAAAATAAAATAAAATGTAGACAAAGAACTGTTTATGATCTTTAAAAATGATAATAATTCTAAAGAAACTTCTTATTGTTATCAATGAATTTAAAAAAGATTTAGCAAACAGGGAAGTCTCAGAAAGTAACGTTTAGGATCTTTAGGTGTGTGTTTTGTTGTTTAGGATCTTTAGGTGTTTGTAATGTGTGTGTGTGTGTGTG